GTGTTACTGTTACATGAGAAATTATCTGTTCTGTAAGCCTTCACCTGAAGTACAATAAAATATTAAAAAAAAAAGAAAAAAGAAAAAAAAATAATAAATCTCAACCTAATAAAAGATATATAGTTCAGCTTCTGGTTAAGACAGATTTGGTCAAGAAAGAACTTCACTTGTGCTGTAACAGTGAGAGAATGCTGAATAAACAAAAATAACCATATTTTATTTAAAGCTATCAAAAAGTGGTGAATGCAAACAAGACTAAATAAACTAAATTACAGAATGAGGTAAGCCCTTAAGTGCTGATTCATCCTTGTGGTATGGAAGAGGTAGAGGAGTAAGCCTCCAAAGGCAGATAAACTTTGCCAGGTTAAGAAAAAGCTGCTCAGACATTAACAATTGTTTGGGTTGGTGTGGCAAACTGGAATCTGGAGGAGCCCCAAATGCATAGCTACTCCTCCCCACCCACCAATTCCCCTGTGGACATCTACCGTGTAAGTGGTGATGCGAAAGCTAGGCGCAGGGCTGGAAAGCAGGAAGAGATTTCTGTAACCTCACAGTGCTTAGATCCCAAAGACCTGATTGAGGAGGGGACCTGATCCCAACCTCAAGACATCGTAATCACTGGTGAACTAAAACTAACTAAAGCAGCAATACTACATTGACCCAACTCAGTTAGATTTAGAAAGACCACACTCTTACCCTAGCTGCCTGAAGAAGAGCAAGCAATCCCTTCTACAGGTAAATACCATATTTTTACACCAATAATGCATACCTTCCACATTTGTTTGCCAACCATGCCCTCCCCCCACGAGGTATTTTGTAAGCACCATTATGCCACTTTTTTTTTTACATGTTGCTGTAAAAAAATTAGCACAGCACACTTATGAAAATACCTTGTGGGAGAAGGGCACGGTTGGCAAACAAACATACAAGGTGTGCATTATTTGCGTAAAAAATACGGTATTAGACACTTATTACAACTAAATGTGAACGGATAATAAAAACTTTTTGAAAGTAAAAGAAAATTAGCTACTTCAGTTACCCCTGTACTTTTAAACACAATGTCCAGCATTTAATAAAAAATCACGTGACATTTTAAGAAGCAGGAAATGGGAGAAAAATAGTCAATAGAAGCAAACACGCGGTTGAATTCACAGATAAGAACTTGACAATAATTATAAATATAATGAAAATTCAGAGGAAAAGAATGGACAAAATGGCTAAAATATGGACAACTTCAGTAGAGAAATACGAAACTAAAAAAGAACCAAATGGAAATTCTAGAACTGGAAAAAAATACACTACCTAAAACGAAGAATTTGGTAGACGGACAGAATAGCACATTGTATACATCAGAAGAAAGGGTTAGTGAACAGCAAGAGGCCAATAGAAATTATCCATACTGAAGTAGGTAGCTAAAGAGAAAGAAAATGACAGAAAAGAAAAATAGAACAGAGAGCCAAAAGCCTATGGGACAATAACAAATGTGTAATTTAAGTCCAGAAGAAAAGAAAAGAGGTAATGTGGGAAAAGAAATATTTAAAGAGATAATGGCTAAGAATTTCCCAAAACTGATGAAAGACATTAAACTATACATCCAAAAAGCTCAGTGAACCACAAGCAGGATAAATACAAAGAAAACCGTATGTAGGGATGTCATAATCAAACGGCTCAACATCAAAGATGAATCGAAACATTTTAACTCGACCAGAGAAGAAAATTATATTATATTCAGGGAAAAACACTAAGAATGACAGTTGTTTCTCATCTGAAACATTAGAAGGTCAGAAGACAATGTATGACATCTTTGAAAGTGTTGAAAGAAAACATGTCAACCTAGAATTCCATTAAGTGAAAATAACATGAAATTAATGTTCTTTTGAACATGAGAATAAATACATTCTCAGACAAACAGAAACTGTGAGACTCCACTGCCAACATATCCACACTCTAAGAGCTGCTCTATATTTTTTCCTAAAGATCTGACCTTCCATCTGGTGTGATTTTTCCCATTAGCCTGAAAAAAACTTCCTTTAGCTTTTCTTCTAGTGCAAGTGTACCGGTAACAAATTCAAGAGTATAATATTAATTAAAGGTAGACTGTTGTAAGTTAAGGATTTCGATTTAAAACTTAATACAAAGAAGTATAACTAAAAAGCCAATTGAGGAAATAAAATGAAATACTAAAAATTACTCAGTTAACCCAAAAGAAAGCAGGAAAGACATAACAAAGCAAAAAATAACAGACGGAAAAGAAACGAAACAGCAAAATTGGAATGTAAATATTATCGATAATTACATTAAATGTAAATGGATTCTTCCCTTCCTTTCTTTTTTTAAGAGGTATTTATTGCCTGCCTTCCTTCTTTCTTTTCTTCCTTCCTTCCTCAAAAAGCCATTCCAAAAAAAACCAAACCCACTGCCTCCAAGGCAATTCTGACTCACAGCGACCCCATAGGGCTTCCAAGGCTATAAATCTCTACGGAAGCACACTGCCACATCCTTCTCCTGGGAGCCACTGGTGGTTTTGAACCACCGACCTGTCAGTTAGCAGTCGACCACTTTAACCACTGCACCACCATTAGGCAGACAAGAGGTAGGCAGCCTGGGGAGACAGTATCAGAGTGGGGCAGACCCAAGAAGGCACAAAGACAAGGGTGAGCAGACAGGCCCAAATGGGGTTCAAGGCCTGCATGTCATTGGGGGTGGGGGGAGGGCAATCTGGAGGGGTCAAGAAAACCAAAATGAAAGTGGAGACATTACTAGCAACCTTACAAAAATTAAAAAGATTATAAGAGAATACTATGAACAATTGTATGCTGACAAATTAGATAACCTAGATGAAATGGATAAATTATCTGACATACAAACTACCTAAACTGACTCAAGAACAAATAGAAAATCTCAACAGACCTATAGCAAAGGAAGAGATTAAAGCAGTAATCAAAAATCTCCCAACAAAGCAAAGTCCAGGACCAGACAGCTTCACTGGTGAATTCAACCAAACATTTAAAGAATTAGCACGAATTCTCAAATTCTCCCAAAACACAGAAGAGGTGGGAATACTTTCTAATTCATTCTATGAGGCCAAATTACCATATTTTTACACAAATAATGCGCACCTGCTACGTTTGTTTGCCAACCACACCCTCCCCCCACCAGGTATTTTCATAGCGCCACTATGACAACGTTTTTACATGTTGCTGTAAAAAAAAAAAAAAAGCATAGTGCACTTATGAAAATACCATGTGAGGGGAGGGCAAGGTTGGCAAACAAGCATAGAACGCAGCTGCCAATCTCAGCTCCATCCTCGCCCTGCTCACCCAATCAATCACATTTTTGGGGGGAACTGTGAAGTCTCTGGAGACCTTCGAGGTATGGAATTTTTTATAACACTCATTTTATTTATTTTTCAAATTTTACTGAAGTATAACATAGCCAAAACCAAACCAGAACCCGTTGCCAGCAAGTCGATTCTGACTCATAGCAACCCTATAGAACAGAGTAGAACTGCCCATAGGGTTTCCAAGGAGCGGCTGGCAGATTGGAGCTGGGGACCTTTTGGTTAGCAGCTGAGCTCTTACCTACCGCACCACCAGGGCTCCAAAGTATAACATTCAACCTGAAAAATGCACCTACAGCTTGACAAATTTCTACAAACTAAACACGGCTGTGTAACCCGAGAAACAGAACACTGCCGGCACCCCAGAGGCCCTGGCACGCGTCCTCCCGAAAGGTAACTACTATCCTGGTTTCTAACAGCAGCAAACAGTGTTGTCTGTTTTGGAATTTGATGTACACAGATTCCTACCACATGTGCTTAGCTTCTTCTGCTCAGTGTTACATTTGTGAACTTCATTTAGTTGTGTGCTGAGCTTTGTTCCTCTTCATTTCTGCACAGTATCCCAGTGTCTGAATACACCGTAATTCGTTTATTTTCTCTACTATTAATAGGCATTGGTTTGTTTCCAGTGTGGGGGATACTAGGCATAGCGTTCTCAGATAGGTCTTTGTATACAGTCTCATATTTACCTTCTCATATACGTCTTTGGTGAACACACACATGCATCTCTGGTGGATATTTACCTAGGAATGAGACTGTTGGGTAGATATATATTCAGCTTTAGTAGATGTTGCCCATAAGATTTCCAAAAGGTTTACCTAATGCTTATTTTTATAGTATCCTCTTACTTGGTAGGTTCAAAGATGTAAAGCGTGTACTATGTAGAACATAGGTTGTCCATAAAAGCATCACAAGGAAGCCCTCGAGAAACAGACTTCTGAGTTTTTCTATCTTCTCTAGTGACATCAGCTGTTACCCAGAGGGACAAATACATCCTGGAAACCTAGGACTCTATGGTCCATCCGTCCAACCTCCTTGCAGACCGTCCATTCCAACACCATCAGTAAAGGGAGTTCATTGACCTCCTAATGCTGCCCGTTCCACAGCTCAAGTTCCTAGAAATCCCCTTCTCCCCCTTATTTACCTCCCCATGGCCCCGGTTCTACCCTCTCAGCCCTTTCTCCAATGCAGTCCTCTGAGTTTTGACAGAGGTACCACATTCCCAGTCTTCCCTGCTCCACGTTGAAATGGCCAGGACAGTCTCCATAGGCAGATAGGGCCTGATCAGGCTAGAAGGCCAAGGTCCAGCCATGGCTCCAGACCAGACCCTTCCCACCTAGATGGCCGCATTACTCATGTCCACAGGGTCCAGAGCTTGGTACATTTAGTCTGAGGCTTGGAGCCTGGGGTTGCAGAAAGACCTCTCCAAATCCTACAGATGTTGGCCAGGAGATCTGGCTACTGGGGATGGAGCAGAGAAGCAGGAACAACCTGCCTCCTATTCCATACCTGACCACAGGTGCCCACTGACTTGCTCTCTCACCCCACCAGAGGTCAGTCTCCATCCCCCTCTGGCACGAAGCCCCCTGTAGCTGAGCCTCAAAAGACCCTGCCCTGCCAGCCCAGGCCTGTAGGATGAGAAGCGCTCAAGCATCTCAGGGCGTGAGCCAGGTCCTGGGACCCAACCCCAGAAGAGATCTCGCCGGCAGCTCACTTACTGACTCGGTAGCCCAGGCCCTCGGCATGAATCCTCTTGGCCATGAATTGTCCTTCGATCAGGGCTCGAATCTCCACATCCCTGGGGAACGCTGAGACCTGTCATCAGGAGAAGGGGGCACAGAGTGAGGAACTCATGTTGTCCATTCATGCGTGTGTGTGTGGTCTCTTTACACCATGACCCAGACTGGAAACTCACGACTCAGGGCTCCAGTGGAGCTGCAAATGTAGCCAGTTCTTTAGATACTGACTTTGCCTATCTCTCTCTCTCTCTCTCTCACACACACACACACACCTCACACACACCCCTCACACCCCTCACATACTCACACACCTCATACACATACCTCACACACTCACACACCTCACATACACACACCTCACACTAACATACTCACAAATCACAATCACACACTCTCATACACCACACACACAGCCCACATACACACACATACTCACACCACACATCCCTCATACACACACACACTCACACCACACACACACACACACACACACACACACACACACACACACACACACACACAGTGCCTTCTGTATCTGGAGTGCTCATGCCCTGTTTGAGGTCCCGTGCAAGGCAACCCTGAAGGAGTAGTGATAGGAATCTCATGTATATGT